AGTTAGATCCTGTGAGAAATTCTACAAAGGACAAAAGCATCTGCAGAAGGCCAAAGTAAGAGAAATCCAAGAAAACTCATGCCATGGTATTGTCCTCACTGTCATAATCATTATTGGTTTGTTCTTTTTGGTGTACATGTGTGGTACCGGTGCTTGAACCCAGGGCCTTGTGCATACTAGGCAAATTCTCTACCACTGAGCCACATCCCTAGCCTTATTACTATTGTTATTACTAAAAGATTTATTTTTTTTAAGTCGTGTATATGTATGTGTGGCTGTTTGTGGTATGTCCACATTGGTATAGGTGCCTACGAAGGCCAGAAGATAATCTTAGATATCCTGGTGCCGTAGTTACAGGCAGTTGTGAGCCACTTGATCTGGATGCTGGAAACCCAACTAGGGTCTCCAGCAAGAGCAGTTGACACTCTTAGACACTGAGCCATCTCTGCAAACACTAGTATTACTCTTTTAATGAACTAGAATCTTTGACCCCAGAGAAAACTGTGGTCTCACTTAAAGAAGGCCACCTAGAAGACAATAAACAGAACAAAGAAAGTGCAATACTAGGAAGCTTTCTGCAGATGTGAGAGGAGACTTTATCACACTTTTTTTTTTCTCACTTGATGAGTGATAGGGCATACTGCTAAATCTCCTCTGTTCATTTGAAGCATGTTTCAAAGAATACTGAGTTAAACACATTATTACCTATATTTCAGTCCTGAAGGCAGGTTAACCCTGAACAATTAAATTTTAAAAGAGCCATACAGAGTTTAACAGTAATTCAGAAGAATAGTTTTTCAAATGTACAAAGAAGATACAAAACACAAATTTAATGGTAACAATAGCTCTAAATTATGAATGGCCCACTGAGTCCTAGACTCCACTGTCAGCATTTATAATAGATCATTTCTAAGGCTCAAATGAAGCCTGCAGTATGGGTTCTATGCTCACAGGTGAGGAATCTGAAGATCAAGAGGTCAAGCATTTGCCAAATGTCTATTAGAAGAATAAGCTGGGCATGGTGGCACATGCCTTTAGCCCCAACACTTGGGATTGGGACGAAGCAAGTGATCTCTGTGAGTTTAAGGTCAGCTTGGTCTACATAGCAAGTTCAAGGCCAGCCAGAACTACACTCAGGAAAAAAAGTAGGAGATTAGATATTATTTAGATATAAACATCACAAGCAAATCCCAAAGTTGCAAAGTTGAGCCAAAGAAGCCAACCATGAAGCTACACTGTAAGATCACCAAACAGGCAAATCTACTCAATACACTTAGCAGTCAGGAAAGTAGTTGCTTTTCTGGCCTTGGATTTTATGAGGTGATTGAATCAAGAAGTCTTCTGGACTATTAACATACAATAGTGCCATCAGGTATAACAACTCATTTATCTGAACAAAGATTTGTGTTTTTGTTATGCACAAACTATATATATGTATATATATGTGTGTGTGTGTATATATATAGACATATATAAGTAAAAATATATTATATATGTATTATGTAAAAAAATTATTAAGGAAGAGTGAGCTGAGCTCTGACCAGGTAGCCCTGTATAATTCCCGAGGCTCCTGCTCCACACTACTCACTCTTCCTACAGTAAGTTTCAAATTAAAAAAAATATTTTATTATTTTTATTTTATGTGTATGAGTGTATTGCCTGCATGTATGTGAGCGCACCTGCGTCATGCAATGCTGTGGAGGTCAGAAGAGGGCTTGAGATTCCCCTGGAACTGGAGTTAAGGACTGTTCTTAGCTGCCATGTGGGTGCTGGGAATCGAACCTGGGTCCTCTGCAAGAGCAGTCAGTGCTCTTAACCTCTGAGCCATCTCTCCAGCCCCAAGTTTCAAATTTTTATGTTAAATAGAGACTCTTATCCATTTTACCAGGAGACTGAAAAGATATATTACTAGATGTAAGTTAATAGTAATTACTAATTCATATGGAAACATCTTTTAGAAGTTTTCTAAAAATATATATTAAAATAGTTTAACTAGAATTACTCTATACTATAGGATAATGAACCTCCCCCAAACCATAGACTATGAAACAAAAAGCGTAGTCCCAAGTATGGAATGTCCCTTTGCATTCTCCGTCAGGGTATCAAGAAGCCTGCCAATCAACACAGGCTATTGCTGTTGCACTTGGCACAAGAACTTGAGTGTAAAGAAGACACCACAGACTTTGCTGAGCTGGAAGTTTCCTCCCTCATGGGCAGCTTTCATAGTGCTGCAGAGTGCCAGGCAGGCTGGAAAAGGTACCAACAATCTTACCTAGCTGTGAACTTGTGAACTACATTAAGAACTTGCCCCAAAAGATATACTCGTTAGTGCAATAATGGCACACATGTCTTGGGAGCTAACCAGCAGCTGTCTGATTGGATTTAAGGTCCACGGAACAGGAGAAAATTCATGTCTGGTAGTTTAAAAGTGGCCAAGAACCCATGGCTAGGAAGGTTGTAGACATTAGGGGAGAGCCCACTACTATTTTGTTAAATTGATAAAGTATCCAATTGCCTTCTGAATACTTATCCTTATACCCATAGATTAGTCCAGCTCTTACTCCTCATCAGAGAAGCTTCTTTTTACAGTAGATGGAGGTTAAGAGAGAATCACAAATGATCAGAGTGCAGAGAATATGTGACTGTGGAGTGCTCATCTACAAATGGGACATCTATATCGCATTCCCTGTCCCCAAGGCTCAGGGAGGTCACAGAAGGCAGGTGAGGAAGATTGTGAAAGCTAGAGGTTAGAGAAGACTGATGCAAAACATCTGGACATGACAAGCAGCTGCACTCATGAACTCTCAACAGCACGGTGGTTGCTTACACAAGATCAATCCAGTCAGTATTCCAGCATGGATGGAGGGTGTTCACAAGGCCCCACTCTTAGTTGAGAAGTTATAGGCAGTGTACATATACGAAGGTGGGAGGGGAAGTGACTTGGGAAGAGTTGTAAGGGGAGAGTGAAGAGTGATTTGATAAAAATACCATGCATTTATGCATTGAAAAAGTAAAGTAATTGCTGATTACAAGGTTAATAATGAAAGGATGAAATAGTAAGCTGGATACACTCATACACATAAAATAAAAATAATAAATAAAATATAAAAAAGTTTTTAAAAATTACATGCATACGTGTATTTACTTATTTTGTGTGAGTGTGAATGCTATGTCATGGGCGTGGGTGTGTGGAGGTAAGAGGTCAACTTTTGGGAATTGGTTCTTTCCTTCCGCCATGTGGGTTCAGGGGATTGAGCTCAGGTTGTCAGGCTTGGAGGCAAGTGATTCTCAATGACTCAAAGATAGTGCAGAATAGAGATACAGGTAGAAAGTCTTTAATTTTGGTTCTGGGCAGAATCAGAAGCAATCAGGGATTGACTACCTCAATAAAGTAAGTATATTAACATATAACAATATGAAATTTATATCCAGTCAGAATTGACTTGATGAAACAAGATATTTGTTTTCATTTGCATACTCTTTGTATATTAGATTAAGGAAGATATGTATATAGACCTATATACATATGTCCACAAGTCTCTGTATTTTTTTTGTCCTGTCTCCATGGTGACTCTTTCACTGTTCTTTGCTTTCACAGGCTCAACTGCTATTGTTGCTTCCATGGGCTACTGAAACTTCCAAGTAACCTCTGTTCCAGTATCGTCATCCAATAACAGGGACAAGGACATGGCACTTTAGGCCAGGACTACATAGTGTGACTCTGTCTCAAAAGACAAAGCAAAACAAAAATAGTAATTATTTTAAAAAATTTGCTTTTGTAACTGTGTGCCTCCACTATGTCGCCAGTAAGATCAGCCTGGGCTACTTGAACATTGACTCAAAAAAACCCAAATAACGACAAAATATTGTCTTGGTCTTTTTAAATCCTTCACTTCCAGGAAAATAAAAGGGTCACCAGAGAGAATTTTGTTTCTAAGCACATTTATAACACATACAAGTACAGGAACCGATTTCCTGCCTGGCTGGGAGAGTTTAATTCTTAACCTTGGCCCATCAGCCGCAGCTGTAAAAAGGGCGGTTACACCCAAGCCCAAATAGGCCCTTAAACGGAAGACCTGCTGAGTGGAGCCCCACTTTCCCAGGCCTGTTCAACTGACCAGGCAGATGCAGCAGCAGGGAGGGAGGGCCTGTAGGTAGGTGGGGAGGGGATCATTTTGAAAGTTTAAATTCCTTGCAAGGAAGAAGCAGCTGCTCCTTGTTTTTCCAAACATCTGTCCCTGGCCTTATGCACCCTTTGGAAGCTGGACCTTGTTAAATGTGCATTTAACGAAGACTCAGTACTGAAGGTCAGTTAGTGAGTGGAAATGGGCCCAAGTGCTGCCCAGAAACTTCCTTCTGCTGAGAAGTGGGCCTTTAGGGCTCTTAAGGATAATTGTCATTTTTCTTTATGTCCCTTACAATAACACAGCTTTCAGAGGCAGTCAAGATTTGTAGCATTATTCAAACTGAACTGTGTGCCCTGGGGATATTATTTCAGAAAACAACGGTCTTCATGGGGCTCATATTTGAATTCTGACCTCCAGGGGTGATACAGGCCTCTGACTTGAAGAGATGGAGGTACCACGCATGCCTTCATGGAGCTGTGCAGGGTTCCTGCGGGCTTTCACACATAACAGCAGATTCCCTGTGTTCTGTTAGAGAATCAGGGCTTGGTTTTATTATTTTTACTCTAGTGCTCAATCAGAGGCTGAAACCTGATACAAACAGGACAGACTTACGAATGAATGATGGGGACAATAATGAACCTGCTGTTTCAACTTGGTTCTTTGAAGGAAAGAGACCCAGGCCCTAGGACACACAAGTCCCCTTCAAAAGTCAAGTTGAAGACGGGCCAGACGGCGGGCAAAGGGCGCCTCTCAAGACCGCATGCGTAGCCACGCCCCTCTCATCCGGCCCTTTCCCTCAGAAAACCGCCCACTTCAGGGACAGGATTCCAGGAGGGGCCTGTCTGGCGCAGGCGCAGAGCTCGGCAGCTGCAGGAAGAGAGGGAAAGGGGCGTGGCCTGGCCGGCTGCGCGCGCAGCGGAGCTTAGGCTCCTCCTACCCGACCCTGGCCTCGCCCGGCAGCGCCGGAGTGGCTTCCTCCTTCTCTGCCCGCCGAGATGGCGCTGGACCCCGCAGGTACGGGGGCGGTCGGCGTGGTTGTGAGGGCCTGGGCGCGGGTCTCTGGCCGCGGGCCTGCGCTCTGAGGATGCGCAGCTTCCGCCCGTGCACAGCCCGGCTGCGTCAGGGCTCCCGCGGGCGTGGCTGCTCCCGCGGCGCCAGGCTTCCGTCTTCCCGCGCGCCGGAGTCCGTGGCTCGGTGAGGGCGCCGGTTCCTGGGTCAGCTCTCACCCATTGTGGCTTCTTAACTGCAACCAGTCTCTTCTTCGTCTTGTGGTTTTAAATTTTTTCTCCGTTGCGTCCAAGACTAAGCACTATGGCCCCAGAAAAATATCAAGTTTCATGCAGGTGCACAGTATTCTGTTTTCGCTAATTTCCCGGACCTCCGAGCTTGTCCTCGTAGCCCGGTGTGACACAGGTTCGGTGACTGACTGGCCAGAGTCAGTTTCTTGGAAAAGATCTCCAGATCAATGGCATTTTAACTTTCTTGGGTCTAGCTCACGTTTGCAATAGAGTTCAGATCCTCAGGAATTCCTACAGAAGCTCACTCATACTACTTTAGATGATTTTTGTAATGGTGAAGATGGAAAATTTAAGTTTTAGAGGGAAAGGTAATGGGTCTAGTCGATTTTGATAGAAAAACTCAAGAAATTGGGAGGTGAGACGTTTTCAAACTTTTGGAGATTTTGAAGTGAAAAAGTCACTTGGGGCCCTCAATTAGAATGAAAACTAGGTGTAGCACACAAACAATTAATTGAACACTTTATAACCCAGCTAACATATTCAGATCCAAAAATACTATGTAGCATGGTAGTTTTTTCAAAATCTCCATTTTTACAGATTAGGAAGCAGACTTGAGAGGTTTAAGTTATTGTTATATACTCTCCCTAGTTCTTTACATGCCGACTTCCCTTCATATTTGAATTCAAATGACAGTTCCTCATAGAAGTCTTCTTTGTCTAAATAGTCCCCATTCATTTACCTACCTCAGGACACTTCTTTTTTTATAATGTTTACAGCAATCTGTGACTGTGTGTGCAGAAATCACTAGTCAGGTGTGGTAAGATGAGGGAGTTCAAGCATAAAGGAGTTCTGGAACATCACATGATCAGAGATGGTTTGGGTTAGTCAGTTGAATCAGATGCTGTGCGCAGTTAGCAATAGATGGGATTTGAAGTCTGTAATGTCCAGTTGCATGAGCTGAAGAAGAGGTGGAGCAGGAGCAGTGGTGTAGGTGGTAAAGCACACTGTGTTGTGTTTGGTTTCAGGTGAATATGTTGGTAGAAGGCGGCACTAATGGGTGAAGAAAGTTCTGGTAAAGTCTGTATAATTTTGGTCTTTCTGGACCTTCAAAATAATATCCTACAGATGAGAAAACAGAGACTCAGGTTAAAGGCTTCCATAGGTCTCTTGATTTAGACAGATGAGGAAATTTAGAAAAGAAAACCCAAAAAGCTTCATACTTGCATCTCCACTTTCTCACCTTCCAGTCGCTCTTAACCCACTCAGAGCTTGTAGGTGCTCAAGGCTACATAGCTACTTGCTGGTACGGCCAAGTTTGGTTAGAAACCATTTCCTTCCCTGTTTAGTGCAATAGACCATGCCCTCTGTTCGAGTATTTATTGGTTAAGCAAACTTGTTGAGGGCCCAGTATATGCCATGTATTTGTTCTGTACCCTAGGAAACGGTAACATAAAGGATAAGCAAGGTCTCCTCTCCCAGGAGATCTTCCCCTATATCTACACATACACATGCATATACATAGAATGTCATAAACATTATGAAGAAAGTGGATTGTGAAGAGAGAGCTGCTTTTGCTAGTTAAGACTTTTATGAGGAAATGCCGTTTGAATTAAGAAGTGATGGAAGAGAAGAAACCACCATGAGAAGAGCTAGGGAGAGAATATGCCAGATAGTCAAATGCTTTAAGAAAAAAATTGACTGGACTGAGGGGCAGAGTGCAGAAGTGATCTGTTGGGAAAGTAAGTTTGAGGTGAACAGGTAGACCTGTAGGGCTTTGAGGTCTGGTAAAGCATTTGGATTT